TGACTGAGACGAGTGGCTGATTCGCCACCTGTGCCCCCTACTGTGCCAACTTGCTGTGCTTTAGCCACCCGGCGCTCCGCTCGTTGTTGTGAGCGTCGCTCCTCCGCCCTCCCTTGTTGTTGGAGGGCGACTGCCTCCAACTGCCCAGTAGCGTCCTTCACGAGCCTCCTCCACAGAGGCCGATCTTGACACCGCTGGTACCGGTCATCGGCAAGTCCACTCAGCTCCACATCCTCCCGTACCACATCACTCCATCTCTTCTCTAGCCCGTGCCGTGCCCGTTAAGCCCCCTCAATCCGGCCAAACAGAAGCTGCACCACCACCACCACCAGCAGCAGCCACCGTTCAGAATGGTCCTTCCATCACATCGACATCGTCTCTCCGCCGTCGCACAGCGGCGCGCGGCTCGCGACATCGTGTGGACCGACGTCCGTCCGTAGCCACCGCCACGCTCGCTCTGCCGATCAGAAGACGCCCGAATCACGCAGAGCCGGCGGCCGGCTCTTCACGTATCCATCCGTACCTCACCCCCCCCGCCCCCCCGTGTCCCCCATCCCGCCGACCTTCGAAGGTCGGATATGCGACGTTGTGCATCGTACCGAACGATTTTACAAAAAAGAACACATTTGCAATTTGTCGAGCCGCAGTTTGTGACGAAGCCCTGTGCGGTATTCACGTATTCACATCGAATAGCTACGGGGGTGGGAAGGGGGGGGGGGGGGTTCAAGTTTGCCGGCCGCATGCATCAATTAAAAACAAGTTCGCGATGGAGTTAAAAAAACAACAACAACAACCGTTAAGTTAACGAGGTCGCTTAAATACGGCATCGTGAGTGGTGGCTCAGAAGGCGGCGCACGCAACCGCATGCAACCGCACGCAATCGTACGCAACCGCACGCAACCGCACGCAACTACCCAACCGCTCACTCCCACACGCAACCACACGCAACCACACGCAACCACACGCAACTACCCAACCGCTCACTCCCGCACACAACCACACGCAACCACAAGCAACTACCCAACCACTCACTCCCGCACGCAACCACACGCAACCACAAGCAACTACGCAACCACTCACTCCCGCACGCAACCACACGCAACTACCCAACCGCTCACTCCCGCACGCAACTACACAACCACTCACTCCCACACGCAACCACACGTAACCACACGCAACCACACGCAACTGCACGCAACTACCCAACCGCTCACTCCCGCACACAACCGCTCGTAATCATTACCAATCGCCAACAACCATTAATATCACTGGTCTACAATGTTTTGGACGTCGTCTGCTTCGGAGGTGAAATGCGCCATTCATTAGGGATTTTTACGTGCCGAATTCAGAGACGGCAATTGAAAAACCGATTGGCTACCGCTCCCAAAATATTTAAGTTTTCACATTTTGCGTCTATGTATGTTCAATTTCGATTTAAAGCTTTCATGACTGCAGGGATTCATCTTCTTGGTTCTTTCGGTAAAGTCACGTAGAAGGGAAATAGTAAAATAATGAAAATAAAACATAATAAAACTATTCTCACGACGTTTCGGCCACAACGCAAGCAGCCGTCCTCAGGTGAAGAACAGGTCTGTCGGGAAGACAGCGTCTATGTATGTTGCGTAGATTGTAGAGTTTTTACTCGTAAATTGTAAACCTGGGTCTTTTCGCGTGTTTATGATTGCTTTACATGATCGCATGTCACCTGTCCTGTTCATGTAACACTTTAAAAATCAGCAAAAGGGGTTACATAAATAAAATGTATCATGAAACAAAAGGCAAACAACTACGGTGTGTATCTAAGTGCATAGTTTAGTCCTTATTCAGGGTCTACTCGGCGCTTCTTGGCTTGACTCTCGCATTCATTAAATGAATCATCTCTTGTCACTGTCCAGCAATAGTCTGCAAGCACCAGAGGTCGCAACCGGGTACCCGATACCCGTACCCTACCAGATACACGGCTATCCGTACCCGGCCGGGTACGGGTACGGGTACCCGTTTGTGACCCTGGTGCGGCCGGGTACGGGTAGGCCGTGAGTCACTGGTGAGTAACTGTGTGTCACTCATTTCCCAACGTCTTGTCTCTTCTCACAATTCAAGTTCCTAGAATCAACCCACCCGCACCTGCAACGTGGCTTCATCCCAGAGGTCACAATCAGGTACCCGATACCCGTACCCGGCCGTACCCGTACCCAGCCGGGTACGGGTACGGCCGGGTATGGGTACGGGTACCCATTTGCGACCCTGGTGCGGCCGGGTACGGGTAAGGAATCAAAACCTGTTTGCGACCTCTGGCAAGCATTGATGAGCTCCGTTTGCTCATCCGCAGTTCTAGATGAGAGGACATGACCAACTGCAATCGATGGCAAAAAAACAATGCCATTAAGCAGCTGTAAGACGCATCTTCGATGAATCAATCAACAGTCTCCACTCATCTGGATCATGAACGATGTTGAGGGCTGCCCATCACACCATCGATGTTGTTGCAGGCTACAAGATCACCTTCCATGAAGAAGAATGGGACAAGATGCTTTTGACAGTCACGGAACATGGAAACCCCAACATCACCTGGCAGGAGATTCCACTGATGCAGCCTGGAGCCCAACAGCTCTGCCTTACTCTTGGGTAGTTCCAAATCCCTGACCAAGGTCTGTCAGTTCACCTTGTGTTAGGAGGTGTGGTTCAGAGGAGGAGGATGGGAGAAAATCTGGGTCACGTGACCTTGATGGTTCAGGACCAGAAAGTTTCATCCTCATCCTCGTCTGACTCAAGCGAGAATGATTCTGGTGCATCAGGAACCGGCAGTCATTCTCCGTAGGCTACTGGGCGTATCACCGATGGAATGTTTGGACAATGCCCTGTCCACTTTTTCTTCTTTGACACATCTTTCCCAAGAAGTAACAATCGCCGATGTGATCTGTTGGCTCTCTCCAAATCATTGGCACTGCAAAAGGCATCGATTTCATTTTCCTGTTCAACCACTGGTGAAGATTTGTTGCGCAAGTGTTGCAGCCTGTGTGTGAGGCCCACATCTTGCCCCGATCTCCAATTTTGCAGTCAAAATAAATGTGATAGGCTTGTTTAACCATAGTGGTTATACCGCGCTTTTGTGATGCAAAAGTCACCACAAACATAGCAGAAGTCATCTGCACCATTGGAACCTTATTTGCCTGTAAAAAAATGTTAATTGTTTTTTTACCCTTTTATCTGGCAACAAAACTGACACCTTTTTTACAAGGAGTCAATTATCAAATTTTTTACTGGCAAATGAGGTCCCAATGGTGTAAATGCTTACCCCGAGCTCTCATACTCTGATGGTGCATTGTCTTTGAATTGTGCGCCTTTTGGCATCATCTGGTCCAACACCATGTGAGACTAGGCTCTAAGGAAAGCTGTCTCGGGTGTGGACCAATCAACTTCAAGGACAGTGCATACATTATCAGAGTTGTGTTTTTTGTTTGCATTATGACTGCAGGTATTGTGGTCTATGCAAACATGACTCCTTGTAAAAAAAGGTGTCAGTTTAGTTGCCAGATAAAAGGGTAAAAAAACAATTATCAGAAGTCATCTGCTTTGTTCACACAAGTACGAGGCATCTCTGCTCACTTTAGCTCAACAGAAATGTGTCCCTTTGCAAAATCAAACACTGACAAATAAGAGAGCATGACACTGCATGATTTCTAGAGCTGATGTAGAGCAATTTGTTCAGCAGATGATGTAAGCCTCGTTATGATTGCATCATCCATGACTTCTAGGAATAACATGATGCATTTCATATCGTGTATGATGCAATACCGGGTCCAGATTGCATCATTCATTGTTTTGCTCAAAAGCAAGTCCTGTCCAAACCCAGTCAAAGATGTATTCATAGATCCAACCAAATACGTATTTTAGTCATTTGTGGTTTAAATTGCGATCCCTCCCCTTTATAATTCGCTAATCCTCCACCATTCCCAAGTCAAGGGCCGTACATACCGACCCAGTAGCATATCTCGAAAACTAGAGCAACAATCAACAATTTGAAGCATCATTTTCATTCTCAGTGGCCCAGAATGAGTCAAGTTTGACGACGGTTACTTCGGAAGCACTTTGGCTGTAGACCAGTGTAATGAACCACTCGCAGCGACTCGCCACCACACACATTCGCTCGCGGCCGCTCGCAGCCGCCCACTCTCATCCTGGACTAAGGCATCGGCGTGGGATTAAGGCCGGAGGTGCAACCCGAGAAGGCGACATCACAGAGCCAGCGACGGGCCCGAGGCAGTGAGGGGGTCAAAGGTGAGGATTCGGGGCAGGCTCGGGATTGAGGCTCAAGAGTTGGGGTCAGCTTCCTCACCCAAACCACGGTGCATCGTGGGGGGCTGGTGCCAGGGTCAAGGCATCTCAGGCTCACAGCTAGGGTCAGGGGTCGCGTCAGGGTCAGGGGTCGCGTCAGGGTCAGGGCTCGCGTCAGGGTCAGGGGTCACACCAGGGTCAGGGGTCGCGCCAGGGTCAGGGGTCGCGCCAGGGTCAGGGGTCATGTCAGGATCAGGGGTCGTGTCAGGGTCAGGGCTCGTGTCAGGGTCAGGGGTCGCGTCAGGGTCAGGGCTCGGGTCAACGAGCCTCAGCCTTCACCCGATTCGTCCTGCACCCAACACAATGCAGGAACAAGCTCATCGATGACCAGCAGTGATCATCACTGATCCTCAATGATCTCCGTTGATCTCCGACTTCCAATTAAACTTCTGATCGACACGAAGTCACCGTCAGTTCCCTACCCCAGCACCACTCCTTCACAAACAATGCGACCCATACAACAACAACAGCAACCAGCAACAACACCACCACCACCACCACAAGCACCACCTCGGCTCCTCTCCTGCAGCGCCACTCTCGCTTCCCGAGTCTCGGGCAGTCCCCACGTGCGCGTGAAGTTTCCTCGATCACAAAGTCAAGGCCAGGGGCGCGGTGCTGCGTGGGACTCGGCACCGCGAGGATTCGGCACCTCTCACCGGGACGCGGGAGGAGGGTCGTACCGCTGCGCCGCTCACCGCACGCTCGCCACGCACGCTCGCCGCCCAACATCCATCCGATCCTTCCGTTAAAATCAAAACCCAGTCTCCCCTTCTCCGATCCGGCGCTCGCCACGCTCAGCCCGACACCTTGGGCAGCAGCGCGGTTCGCACGCCGGCACCGGTGGCGCCGCCGTCGCCAGAGCGGCCCAAAGCGACCTTCGCCTTCCCGGCCGGCGCGGGGGCCGCCGCCTCCGCCGCCGCCGCCGTCCGCACCGGCGGCCCCCCGGGCGACGAGGACGACGACGACGAGGAGGCCGCCGCCGCCGTGCCGGCCGGCCTCTCGGCCGCCCCGTCCGGCGTCTTGGGCAGCCGCCGCCTGAGCCACGGGTGCCTGAGCGCCTGCCTGGGCGTGGGCCGGGCCTCGGGGTCCCACTCGACGCAGCGGCGCAGGAAGTCGACCAGCCTGGCGTCGGCGCGCCCGCCCAGCGCGTCGGCCAGGGACCGCGACCCCGGCGGGCCCCGGGCCCGTCCCCGGCGCGACCTGCCGCCGCCGAGCGCCACCGAGCCGTCGGCGCGGCGCGACGCGGTGCAGTAGCGGGGGTGTCCGCGCGAGTCGACGAAGCTGCGCGCGCGCTTGCAGCGCTCGAGCAGCGCCGGCGCGGGCATGCCGAGCACCTCCATGATGCAGGCCAGCTGGTCGCCCTCGTCCTCGCCGGCGAACAGCGGCCGCCCCGTCACCAGCTCGGCGACGATGCAGCCGAGGCTCCACACGTCGATGGGCGGGCCGTAGCGCGCGCCCATGATCACCTCGGGCGCGCGGTAGAAGCGCGACTGGATGTAGGTGTAGACGCGCTGGTGCTCGAAGCAGCTCGAGCCGAAGTCGATGACCTTGATGGCGGCGCCGCGGTGGCCGGCGGCGGTGGCGCTCCCGGCGGGGGCGGCGGACGAGGTGGACGTGTGCCTCAGCAGCACGTTCTCGGGCTTGAGGTCGCAGTGGATGATGCGGTTGCGATGCAGCCCGTCCAGGCACTGCAGCATGCCGTGCGCCAGCCGGCGCACCAGCGGGGGCTCGAAGCCGCGGAAGCCGCCGCGCTTGATGAGCTCGTAGAGGTTGGCGCCCAGCAGCTCGAAGGTCATGCAGACGTGTCCGCGGAAGACGAAGTGCTCCAGCAGGTGCACCACGTTCATGGCGTCGTCGCGGTCCTGCGAGCGGAGGTGCTCTAGGATGCGCACCTCCTCCTCCGCCTGCCGGTGGAAGCGCTTCTCGTTGCGGACCATCTTGAGCGCCACGTAGCGCCGCGTCTTGTGGTCCAGCGACTTGACCACCTGGCCGAAGCTGCCCTTGCCGATCACCTGCGGGGGGCGACCGGGTCAGAGCGGAGGAAAAATGAACGACAATTTGTGTGTCTCTCTCTCATCATCATCATCACGGTGGCTAGGAGATGTTAACTACCTCGCCTGGTATACAGGAGGTCGTGGGTTCGATCCCGACCCTGGCGCCTGCTGCTGAATATTTGGAGTTTGCGTGTCTCTCTCTCATCATCATCACGGTGGCTAGGAGATGTTAACTACCTCGCCTGGTGTACAGGAGGTCGTGGGTTCGGATCCCAACCCTGACGCCTGCTGCTGTATATTTGGAGTTTGCGTGTCTCTCTCATCATCATCATCACGGTGGCTAGGAGATGTTAACTACCTCGCCTGGTGTACAGGAGGTCGTGGGTTCAATGCCAACCCTGACGCCTGCTGCTGCTGTATATTTGGAGTTTGCGTGTCTCTCTCTAACCGTGGTCGCGTGGATTTTTCTCCGGGTCCTCCGCTTTTAACCCCTCCACATTTCGGACCAACATCACCACGCGCTTCAGAGTTATTTGCCCGCTGTACAATTCCACAGGGCAAGCCACTTGGTCGTGCCGTCACTTGCGATCCGCCAGGTCGCTTGTGAAGAAGAGCTCCTATCGGTCAGTGCGCCTTTGCCCGGTCAAATAAAACAAAACTGTTTACTTCTAACGAGTCTGGTTCGTGGCAAGGGCCTTGCCATTCAAGTTCCAACACGACGGGCCCCTCCCCCGCAAGCACGTGGCGGCGGCCCCCGATCGACGCTCGCTCGTCTCAGCGGCACAGACGGCAACCCGGCACGCGGCGCCTGTCGGAGCTGCTGCCGGCACAGCTGTCCGCACACACAGAAGGCAAAGATTCCCCGTGTAGCCTAAGCAGACTTTCGGGGCAAGTGCATCGAGGGGGTGGGTGGCCGCCTTTGTCTCCCCCGGTGGCGATGTTTACACACCGCACCGGGTACACATTTGAGGCTGAGTCGAATTAGGGGAGGCCCAAGACCGGTTCAGATAATCGTCACTGGTGTTGGAACTCAGGTCGCTGGGTTTGTGGCGCAGCGTGCTGACCGCTGCACTACCGCACGCACGCACGCACACACAGTGACACGCAACACACAGTGACAAGCACACACAGTGACACGCACACAGAAAGACGCACAAAGAGACACACACACAGACGCGCACACAGACGCGCACACACAGAGACGCACAGAGACGCACAGAGACGCACACACACAGACACGCACACACACAGACACGCACACACACGCACACAGAGAGACACGCACACACACACAGACATACAGACACGCACACAGAGACATGCACAGACACGCACACAGAGAGACACAAACACACACACACACAGAGACGCACACACACACACAGAGACGCACAGACACGCACACACACACACAGACACGCACACACGCACACAGACACACACACGTGCGCGCACACACACGCACCTTGATGACCTCGTAGCGGTAGGCCACGTGGTCGTGCGGCACGTGGATGTACGAGCCGCGCTCGTCGTCGAAACCGCCGTTGCCGACGCCGTTGGTGGCGGCGTTGGCGCCAGCGCCGCCACCAACGCCGCCGACGGTAGCGGTGGCGACGCGCCGGCGCGACTCCCCCGACACGAAGTAGACCTCGTTGTACGACAGGATCTCCTGCCGCTCGTACGCCGACAGCTTGCTGCCGTAGCGCTTGAGCGCTCGCTCGGGCGTCAGCGGCGAGGGCGCCGTCGTGCCGCCGCCCGCGGAGTTGGCGTTGTTGGCGGCGCCGGCTCCGGGCAGCGCCGCCCGCGCGTACCGCGTTTTGCCGGCATCGGCATCGCCGCCGCCGCCGCCGTCGCCGCTTCGCGCTTGCGCCGACGCCGATTTGGACGCCGCCGAAGGCGGTTTAGCGGAAGCGTCCGCGCGCCGTCTGGGGGTCCCGGCGTGGCCCGGCAGCGCCTCGGTCGCGGCGCCGGTTCCGGCACAGGCGCCGGTTCCGGCACCGGCACCGCCGGCGCCGCCGTCCCTGCGCGTCCTCGCCGGCGCCGAGCCGTGCAGCAGCACCGCACGGAGGCCGTTGGGCTGGGAGGGCGGGTGCTGGCGCTTGGCGCTGGCGGCTGCCGCCGATACCCCCGGCTGGTGCTGCTGCTGCGGCTGCTGGTGGCGGTGAAACTCGGTGGGGGCGGCGGAGCCGGCGGGAGGCGGCGCGGGGCGGGGGCGTGCGGGGCAGGAGACCCGCGTCACCGTGGGGTGCGGCGCAGCGGCCGGGTGCTCCGACAGGCGCACGCGGGACACCCCCCCGGCCTGCGCGGGGACACGCGGACGTGAGGTCACGGAGACACGGGGACATGGAGACACGGGGACATGAGGTCACAGAGACACGGAGACAGGAGGTCACGGAGACACGGGGACACGCGGACGTGAGGTCACGGAGACACGGGGACACGGGGACATGAGGTCACGGAGACACGAGGACATGGAGACACGGGGACATGAGGTCACGGAGACACGGGGACATGAGGTCACGGAGACACGGGGGCACGCGGACGTGAGGTCACGGAGACACGAGGTCACGGAGACACGAGGTCACGGAGACACGGGGACATGAGGTCACGGAGACACGGGGACACGCGGACGTGAGGTCACGGAGACACGAGGTCACGGAGACACGAGGTCACGGAGACACGAGGTCACGGAGACACGGGGTCACGGAGACACGAGGACACTGGGACACTGAGACACGCGGACGCAGGGACACGGAGACACGGGGACATGAGGTCACGGAGACACGGGGACACAGAGACACGCGAATACGGGGACGTGAAGGTACAGAGGCAGAAGGACACGGGGGATGTCAGGACAGAGACATGGGGGGGGGGGGGGAGACACTCCCAATACACGCATCCCATCCGTGCCACCGTTGATTACAACTATTATTATTATTCGACCAAGTGTCGAATAATTACTTGAACTATTCGAGTAACTGTCGGACACTCGAGACGCCGCGCCGAGTCACGGGCCTACGAGGCGGCGGGCGGACGTAGAGCGCGACGTCACCACGAGGACTGGGGGGGGGGGGGGGGGGACGCTGGCGTGAGCCGCCCCCCCTGTGTCGTGGCCACCACCCCGACAAGATCAGGGCAGATGGCGGCGGGTACCGCCAGGGCAGAGGTCGGAGGTCGTGCAATTCCCGCGGCGGCAGCTGCCGGATCGGGCGGAGGGTTTGGAACGCGTTGGCAGCGCCACGCTGGGCACACGCACGAGCGTGTGCGCGTGTGTGTGTACGCGCGTGTTTGTGTGTGCGTGTGTGCGTGCGTGTGCGTGCGCGTGTAGTCTCGTGGTAATTCATTGAAGGTGGAGGGGTTACCAGCCCATCGCACCCGTCCAGAGCCCCCGTTTAGCCACTGTGGTGGTCACAGACGCCATGAGGGGAGAGGCCAATGGGCATTGATCCTCCCCCCACAGCAATGTCCACGACAGTGTTGCCCGTCTGGCACCGCAAGGAGGTAGGAGGTTGTTTTGCCGGCACAAGCGTCGTGGTGACGTCACCGCCACTTAGTGGCGAATGGCGGTTGTTGTTGTGCGCGTGTGTGTGTGTTCGCATCTGCGTGTGTGTGCGTGTGCGTGTTTCGCGCGTCGGGAGGACGCCGGCTCCATTCTATCTCCCGGCGCGGCGGTCGAAGCAGCTGGGGGGGGGGGGGGGGGGCGACGGATTCTCAAATCCCGCTCCTGCACCACCTCCTCTGTGCGGCGATCACGTGGAGTGGGGTGCAGCGAGGCTACCGCCACCCTCCCCCGAGACGTCCCGGACAGCGCCGACCACAAAGCGACGCACTTCCGGCCGCGGTGGTGCACGAGCGAGCAGTTGCGGGGCCGCGCCTTTACACACCACCCCCGCCCCCCCGCCCCCCCGCCCGCCCGCCCGCCCCCCCCCCCCGGCTGTGAATCATGCGCCTGCGGGGACGGGGGTCTCAAGCGGCGGTCTCAGGGCGCCGTCCGCGGCGTTCCCGGGACGGACTCGGCAGGTGCCGGCTTGCGTGGCAGTGGCGGCGGGGGGTGTGGGGGGTGTGGGCGGCATGTGTGTGGTGTGTGGGGGGGTCTGTGGTGTGTGGGGGGTGTGTGGTGTGTGGGGTGTGGGAGGTGTGGGGGTGGGGGGGTGTGGGGGGTGTGGGGGGGGTGTGGGGGGTGTGGGGGGGATGCCGTGGATTCCTGCACGGCAGTGGCTGTCCCCGGCGGGCGTCATTCACGCTGCCGGGACGGATTTAAACACGCGCGGTGGGGGAGGAGCACGGAGGAGGAGGAGGTGGAGCAGTGGGAAGGAGGAGCATGGAGGAATAGGACCCAGGTGCTCAGACCCAGATGCTCAGACCCAGGTACTCAGACCCAGGTACTCAGACCCAGGTACTCAGACCCAGGTACTCAGTCCCAGGTACTCAGACCCAGGTACTCCGACCCAGGTACTCAGACCCAGATGCTCAGACCCAGGTACTCAGACCCAGGTACTCAGACCCAGGTACTCAGTCCCAGGTACTCAGTCCCAGGTACTCAGACCCAGGTACTCAGACCCAGGTACTCAGACCCAGGTACTCAGACCCAGGTACACAGACAGTCCCAGGAACTCAGACCCAGGTACACAGACAAACCCAGGTACTCAGACCCAGGTACACAGTCCCAGGTACTCAGTACCAGATACTCAGACCCAGGTACTCAGTACCAGATACTCAGTCCCAGGTACTCAGTCCCAGGTACTGAGTCCCAGGTGCTGAGACCCAGGTACTCAGACCCAGGTACTCAGTACCAGATACTCAGTCCCAGGTACTCAGTACCCAGGTACTGAGTCCCAGGTGCTGAGACCCAGGTACTCAGACCCAGGTACACAGACCCAGGTACACAGACCCAGGTACTCAGACCCAGGTACTCAGACCCAGGTACTCAGACCCAGGTACTCAGACCCAGGTACACAGACCCAGGTACTCAGACCCAGGTACTCAGACCCAGGTACTCAGACCCAGGTACTCAGACCCAGGTACTCAGACCCAGGTACTCAGACCCAGGTACTCAGACCCAGGTACTCAGACAGTCCCAGGAACTCAGACCCAGGTACACAGACAAACCCAGGTACTCAGACCCAGGTACTCAGACCCAGGTACTCAGTCCCAGGTACTCAGACCCAGGTACTCAGACCCAGGTACTCAGACCCAGGTACTCAGACCCAGGTACTCAGACCCAGGTACTCAGACCCAGGTACTCAGACCCAGGTACTCAGTCCCAGGTACTCAGACCCAGGTACTCAGACCCAGGTACTCAGACCCAGGTACTCAGACCCAGGTACTCAGACCCAGGTACTCAGACCCAGGTACTCCGACCCAGGTACTCAGACCCAGGTACACAGACCCAGGTACACAGACAGTCCCAGGAACTCAGACCCAGGTACACAGACAAACCCAGGTACTCAGACCCAGGTACACAGACAGACCCAGGTACTCAGACCCAGGTACACAGTCCCAGGTACTCAGTACCAGATACTCAGTCCCAGGTACTCAGTCTCAGGTACTCAGACCCAGGTACTCAGACCCAGGCACTCAGTCCCAGGTACTCAGTCCCAGATACTCAGTCCCAGGTACTCAGTCCCAGGTACTCAGACCCAGGTACACAGACCCAGGTACACAGACAGTCCCAGGAACTCAGACCCAGGTACACAGACAGACCCAGGTACTCAGACCCAGGTACACAGACAGACCCAGGTACTCAGACCCAGGTACACAGACAGACCCAGGTACACAGTCCCAGGTACTCAGTACCAGGTACTCAGACCCAGGTACTCAGTACCAGGTACTCAGACCCAGGTACTCAGACCCAGGTACTCAGACCCAGGTACTCAGACCCAGGTACTCAGACCCAGGTACTCAGTCCCAGGTACTCAGCGTTGCCGACTCGGCGACCGTGACCCGGCCATCGTGAACTTCCCAATCCAGGTTCAATAACAAATCTCTTCCGTCAGGCAGAGAGGGTTTTGTGAGCGCAGCGTTTTGAGAGAGAGGCGGGTTGGGGGTTGGGGATGGTTGGGGCGGGGGGGGGTCCATACCAGGTGCGACTTTAAGGGGGGCAGTCCCGAGGGCCCCCCGTTCGGGGGGTCACCGTGATCCCGTGCCGCGACGTGCCGAGTCACCGCTTCCGAGCGACCGCCTGCGGACACCGACACGGGCAGAGGGTCAACAGGGGTCAACGACACGGGCAGAGGGTCACCGCAGGTCAACGACACGGGCAGAGGGTCAACAGGGGTCAACAACACGGGCAGAGGGTCACCGCAGGTCAACGACATGGGCAGAGGGTCAACAGGGGTCAACGACACGGGCAGAGGGTCACCGGAGGTCAACGACACGGGCAGAGGGTCAACAGGGGTCAACAACACGGGCAGAGGGTCACCGGCGGTCAACGACACGGGCAGAGGGTCAACAGGGGTCAACGACACGGGCAGAGGGTCAACAGGGGTCAATGACACGGGCAGAGGGTCAACAGGGGTCAACGACACGGGCAGAGGGTCACCGGCGGTCAACGACACGGGCAGAGGGTCAACAGGGGTCAACAACACGGGCAGAGGGTCAACGGGGGTCAACGACACGGGCAGAGGGTCAACAGGGGTCAACGACACGAGCAGAGGGTCAACAGGGGTCAACGACACGAGCAGAGGGTCAACAGGGGTCAACGACACGGGTAGAGGGTCAACAGGGGTCAACGACACGGTCAGAGGGTCAACAGGGGTCAACGACACGGGCAGAGGGTCAACAGGGGTCAACGACACGGGCAGAGGGTCAACGGCGGTCAACGACACGGGCAGTTGTGGAGGGGGGCAGACTCGAGCTCAAGCGGATTGTGCTTCACAGCGGGGCGAGACCTCCAGGGACCAGAATATGGTCGCATTCGCACAGGAGGCAGGGGGGCGCCCCCCAAATTGACCACAAGCCAAGCAGCAACACAAACAAGAACCGTGGAATGACGCGGCGGCAGCAGAGAGAAATGGGAGCACGAGCGGCCGCGTCGCGCCGGAAGTCGTCATTGGCGAGCGGCGAGTGTTGAAGACTCGCGCGGACGAGCCCAGAACGCCAAGCGGCCAGGAACAAACAGCGCCATCAATGTGATAGGAGACGAGAGAGCAGCACGCTTCACGAAGCGAGCGAGGTGAACGTGACGAGGTGAACGTGACGGGGTGAACGTGACGGGGTGAACGTGACGAGGTGAACGTGACGAGGTGAACGTGACGAGGTGAACGTGACGGGGTGAACGCGACGGGGTGAACGCGACGGGGTGAACGCGACGAGGTGAACGCGACGAGGTGAACGTGACGGGGTGAACGTGACGAGGTGAACGTGACGAGGTGAACGTGACGAGGTGAACGTGACGGGGTGAACGCGACGGGGTGAACGCGACGGGGTGAACGTGACGAGGTGAACGTGACGAGGTGAACTTGACGAGGCGGCGATGGCGGCGGGAGGAGGAGGGAATCCCGAAGGGAAACGTCGCGAGGGAAGCAGCAGAGAGAGAGGGAGAAGCGAGGTGACCGGCCGCGCTGGCTCACAGCGGAGTGTGCCGGCGTCGCGGTCGAAATTGCCCCCCCCCAACCCCCCAACGCAAAAAATCTCTCAAGCGGAACACGCACGGCAATCGTCGTCACTCCCCTACCACGACAACTGGCGGACACGGTCCCCCTGACGCAAGAGCCGCGAGTCTCCGTGCTCCAAGTCGTAACAACAACAACACTCGATTTAAAGCTTCTTTCGTGACTGCAGGGATTCATCTTCTTGGTTCTTTCGGTAAAGTCACGTAGTAGGGAAATAATAAAATATTTAAATAAAACATTATTAAATCATCTAATAAAATAATAATATAATATTAATATAAGAATTTTATTTAATCACGTTGTATTTTTATTATTTTATTATTTCCTTTCTACGTGACTTTACCGACAAAACCAACAGCAACAACAACAACACTCTGTCATGCCAAAACCAGGCACCAGGCACCAGGCACGCCCGTGGGTTCTCTCCACCCCCGTCCAACACGCCGCCGCCAGCGGAAGCGCCGGCTCGTCGGTGCGGAACCGGCAAACCGCCAGGGACGCGTCACGACGCGTCACGACGCGTCACGACGCCGCAAACTCCATCGGCCTCGTCTCTCCGAGAGCCTTGCGCAAGCATGAGCCCCTTCGCGTGAAAAGGCGCCCCGCTTTTTGGCAGCCGGAGTTGCGCGAAAGTTCCGCGCGGATCGGCTCCTGTCTACGAGAGTTCTAGCGCAGACCCCAACCTCCCAACCCACTTCCCTGCTCGAGAGACAGACGGAAGGGCGGACGGAGCCGGTGCATGAAAGTCGTGGGTGAAGAGAAACCCAAATCCCCCCCCCACCCCAGACTTCCCGTCGCGTGCGGCGTCACCGCTGGGCCACCACGGCAGAGGTCGCAAACGGGTTGTGATTCCTTACCCCCCGTACCCGTACCCGGCCGCACCAGGGTCACAATCGGGTACCCGTACCCTACCCGTACCCGGCCGGGTATCGGGTAGGGTACGGGTATCGAGTACCCGATTGCGACCTCTGGGATGAAGCCATGTTGCAGGCGCGGGTGGGTTGATTCTAGGAACTCGAATTGTGAGAAGAGACAAGACGTTGTGAAATGAGTGACAAACACTTACTCACCAGGGTCGCAAACGGGTGCCCGTACCCGGCCAGGTACGGGTAGCCGGGTATCGGGTAGGGTACGGGTATCGGGGGGGTGGCGGTGGCGGTGGCAGCGGCGTCACCGCCACGGTCCCTGCACCGGCCACGACCGCCGAGACTCCCCGCGACCAGGCCGCCGCTCGCGACACAACGGCTCAAAGCGCCTCGGTGATTCGGCATGTCAAGCGGCAGCACCGCTCCTCCACCGTTGTTATGAACGACGATGATGATAATTTTACAGCCCTTCGTCTAACCACCGCCGAGTGGAATGCCTCCCATCGTGCCATGTCGGTCGTCTGGGATTGGGATTGTTTGGGATTGTATGGCCATACTGCACCACCATTGGAACCTCCTTTTGCGCCTTTTAGCGTCATCTGGTCCAACACCATGTGAGACTAGGCTCTAAGAAAAGCTGTCTCGGGTGTGGACCAATCAATTTCAAGGACAGTGCATACATTATCAGAGTTGTGTTTTTTGTTTGCATTCCGACCGCAGGTATTGTGGTCAATGCAAACATGACTCCTTGTAAAAAAAAAGGTGTCGGTTTTGTTGCCAGATAAAAGGGTAAAAAAACAATTATCATACTTCACCGGTTTGTGAACCGGTGCCGTGGGTGATCGGTCGGTCACAGGACCAGTTCTGACATCGATGTCAGTCGTGGCTGGGAATCAAACGCGGGTTGTCAGCAGCTTCGGATGTGCTCACCCAACACAAATCAATACGCGAAGGGGATGGGCGCAAGCCCTGCAATTGATGAGGATGGTTTAGTTTCATTTGAATGTTTTTTGGCCGACGCGTTTACATTTCTTGTGCATTCCTGCCGTGTTTTTGGAGTTTGTGGGTGTCTCTCTCCCTTTGGTCGTGTGAATTGTTTTTTCTCCAAGGTCCTCCGGTTTTTCCCTCCACATTTAGAAACTTGTATTAACATTATTTTGGTGCTATAAATGTCCAAATGATGGGCCACTTTGTTGAGCCATCATTTGTGGCCAGGTCGCTTCTGAAAAATAAGTCAATACATGAGTGGGCTTTGCCTGGTAGAATGAGTATGCTTTAGTTTAATTTGTATGTGTTTGGGTGATTGGTTTACCTTTATTATACTTGGCACTACGGTCATGTTTTTTTGTGTTGTTTGTTGTTGTAACGTTCTTACCCCGTGTGCCCCTACTGGACATCGGTGACAAAGAGCTTCATAGCTCATCGGATTCCTCCTCCTGCAGTACAAATACATATTCTGATCGTGAATTACTCTGCTCAGACCACTGCTGGCGTGAGGGCCCTGCACTTCGGGGAGTTCAGGAGAACCCCCTCTCGATGACATTGGTCCTATTCAGTTGCGAGTCGCCACACTTTACCCCACCGCACACGCGAGCGGCCGATCGACTGAACTGCGGCATAACACATGGGGGGGGGGGGGAGCGGTGGGTGAGGACATTCACACAAAGGACCTCGCTCCGTCGTTTCAAACACGGCCGCGCCGGGAGCCGGAGTCGAACCCGACGGGTTCGACGCGCTGCGCTGCGCTACCAAGCCGGCAAACCCCGAGTTCGATTCCCGCTCGCGGCTCAACACCGGTGACGATTATCCGCCGGGGGTGGCCTCGCGCGACGCTCGCCGAGCCGATGTTTCCCCGAGAAAAGCTCGCCCCCCGTTACTTCGGCCGACCATGGAAACGGTGACGGCGACGAGAACGAGGAGGAGGAGGAGGGAGCGGGGAGCGGGGGTCAGGCGCGCGCTGTAACTTATAAGGCCATTAGCGACGGCACATAATCAATGGGTGCCGGCTGCCGCCGCACGGAGCGGCTGCGTCTGTCTGTCGCTCGTCCGCCTAAAAGCCAACAGATGGCTCCGACATGCGCCCCACCCCCCCCACACTCCATCAAATAAATAAATAAATAAATGTGCGAATTCCGCAAAGTCTGCCAGAATTACAATTAGTTTTTTTTCTACTTTCGGGATCTCCCGTCACCCGAGCCGATTATGAATCCGTGGCCCGCGCCGCTGAACGGCACAAAATCGAGAGGCGCGACGGCACGCGGGAAGCAAAATATAAACGTGAGAATGAACATTTTGTTTTGTTTAAAACGAGGAAGAAAAACCAGTCACGCGCACGGATTGCGCAACGCTCACAGATTGCGCAACGCTCTGCAACGCGCGGATTTGTCCTCGGGAGTCCTGTGGTTGGGGGGGGGGGCGGTTGGGGGGGGATTGGGGGGGGGGCGGTGAAATTGTTATCTCGAGATCGAGCGCAGCAGATCACCGAGGTCACTTGGGAGCGTGGGGAGCGCCGGCCAGGAGGCGTCAGGGTCGGGATCGAACCCACGCCCTCCTGTACACCAGGCGAGGTAGTTAACATCTCCTAGCCACCGTGATGATGAGAGAGACACGCAAACTCCAAATACACAGCAGCAGCAGCAGGCGTCAGGGTCGGGATCGAACCCACGACCTCCTGTACACCAGGCGAGGTAGTTAACATTCCTAGCCACTGTGATGATTATGACAGAGGCACAAACTCCAAATATACAACAGCAGCAGGCGTCAGAACGGTGATCGAACCCACAACCTCCTGCATACCAGGCGAGGGAGTTAACATCTCGTTTACGAATTTTAACCGCGACGGCCTCCTCCTTCCCAATGACCTCGGGGGGGTTCGTCCACCGTGGGCGAAGCAAGACACCGCGTGGTACGTCAGTCAAAACACGGCGCCGCACCATTAACCGGGGCGGCCAGCCAGGTTTGAGCCGCGAAACCTCTTGCAACGAGCGGCCAACGAGCGGGCCGAACGCCGAGAGAGCCGTGGTCTACACCAACCGGCGGAGTGGCAGCCAATGGACGGAACGCGACCCAAAAGAGAGGACCTCAAACGCGGAGACGGAGCCATGGAGTGGCCATGGCTGATGATGGTAATGATGTCACGGGGAGGGTCTCATCCAACAGTGGAGTGACCATGGCTGATGATGGTAATGATGTCACGGGGAGGGTCTCATCCAACAGTGGAGTGGCCATGGCTGATGGTGGTAATGATGGCTTTGGGGAGACCCTCATCCAGCAGTGCAGTGTCCATGGCTGATGATGGTAATGATGGCTTTGGGAAGGCCCTCATCCAACAGTGGAATGGCCATGGCTGATGATGGTAATGATGGCTTTGGGGAGACCCTCATCCAACAGTGGAGTGACCATGGCTGATGGTGGTAATGATGGCTTTGGGGAGACCCTCATCCAACAGTGGAGTGACCATGGCTGCTGATGACGATATATTTCATTGTTATTGACATCACCCGCAAAACGAGTGACGTTTAAGTGTTTACTCTAAGGGCTGTGCGAGGCTTTCACATCTGCATTGAGGCACATTTCCTATGTAAAGTACACGCGCACGTACACACAGCTGAAAAACCCTGCGACTAATGTCTATAGCAACACACGCTCACAAGATGTAAACACAACAGACTGTTGGGGCAAGTGCTGTTAGCGAGTAGCAGCACCTATGAAGGCCGGCACGGCAGCACACGAGGGGGTGGGTGGCCAGCACCACGCCCGGCCGCCTTTGTCTCCCTCGAGACGATGTTTAGCTACACCACCGCACCGCGGTAGCCAACACACAGTGACAACACACAGTGACACACACAGTGACACACACAGAGTGACACACACAGAGTGACACACACACACCCAGAGAGTGACACACACACAGTGACACACACAGTGACACACACACAGTGACACACACAGTGACACACACACAGTGACACACAGAGTGACCACACACAGTGACACACACAGTGACACACACACAGTGACAACACACACACACAGTGACACACACACAGTGACACACACACAGGACACATACAGACAGGGTGACACACAGTGACAACACACACACACACACAGTGACAACACACACACAGTGACACACACAGTGACACACACACAGGACACACACACAGGACACATACAGACACGGTGACACACACAGTGACAACACACACACACAGTGACACACACACAGTGACACACACACAGGACACATACAGACACGGTGACACACACAGTGACAACACACACACACACAGTGACAACACACACACACAGTGACACACACACAGTGACAACACACACACACAGTGACACACACACAGGACACATACAGACACGGTGACACAGTCACGCAAGATAAAGTCGCCACGGTAGATTACCAATGTTGTTATCTCCACTGAACACACAGCACGAAGATTTTAAAAGAGAAATCACTCTTAATGTGCTTAACGCAACCGGGCACTGATATGGAGTGAGCGTGCCAACACCAAGTTACACAGCACACTGTAGTACAGTTACACAGCGCACTGTAGTACAGTTACACAGCGCACTGTAGTACAGTTACACAGCACACTGTAGTACCGACACACAGCACACTGTAGTACAGTTACACAGCACACTGTAGTACAGTTACACAGCACACTGTAGTACAGTTACACATCACACTGTAGTAGTTACACAGCACACTGTAGTACAGTTACACAGCGCACTGTAGTACAGTTACACAGTGCACTGTAGTACAGTTACACAGCGCACTGTAGTACAGTTACACAGCGCACTGTAGTACAGTTACACAGCGCACTGTAGTACAGTTACACAGTGCACTGTAGTACAGTTACACAGTGCACTGTAGTACAGTAACACAGCGCACTGTAGTACAGTTACACAGCGCACTGTAGTACAGTTACACAGCGCACTGTAGTACAGTTACACAGTGCACTGTAGTACAGTTACACAGCGCACTGTAGTACAGTTACACAGCACACTGTAGTACAGTTACACAGCGCACTGTAGTACAGTTACACAGCGCACTGTAGTACAGTTACACAGCGCACTGTAGTACAGTTACACAGCGCACTGTAGTACAGTTACACAGTGCACTGTAGTACAGTTACACAGCACACTGTAGTACAGTTACACAGCACACTGTAGTACAGTTACACAGCACACTGTAGTACAGTTACACAGCACACTGTAGTACAGTTACACAGCACACTGTAGTACAGTCACACAGCACACTGTAGTACAGTTACACAGCACACTGTAGTACAGTTACACAGCGTACTGTAGTACAGTCACACAGCGCACTGTAGTACAGTTACACAGTGCACTGTAGTACAGTTACACAGCGCACTGTAGTACAGTTACATAGCGCACTGTAGTACAGTTACACAGCACACTGTAGTACAGTTACACAGCACACTGTAGTACAGTTGCATAGCACACTGTAGTACAGTAACACAGCGCACTGTAGTACAGTTACACAGCGCACTGTAGTACAGTTACACAGCACACTGTAGTACAGTTACACCGCACACTGTAGTACAGTTACACCGCACACTGTAGTACAGTTACACAGCACACTGTAGTACAGTTACACAGCGTACTGTAGTACAGTTACACAGCGCACTGCAGTACAGTTACACAGCGCACTGTAGTACAGTTACACAGCGCACTGTAGTACAGTTACACAGCGCACTGTAGTACAGTTACACAGCGCACTGTAGTACAGTCACACAGCACACTGTAGTACAGTCACACAGCGCACTGTAGTACAGTCACACAGCACACTGTAGTACAGTTACACCGCACACTGTAGTACAGTCACAGAGCGCACTGTAGTACAGTTACACAGCAGACTGTAGTACAGTTACATAGCACACTGTAGTACAGTTACACCGCACACTGTAGTACAGTCACAGAGTGCACTGTAGTACAGTTACACGGCACACTGTAGTACAGTTGTACAGTGCACTGTGGTACAGTTACACAGCGCACTGTAGTACACAGACACACACACACACACAGACACACAGAGACACACACAGACACACACACAGACACACACAGACACACACACACAGAGACACACACACAGACACACAGACACACACACAGACACACACACAGACACACACACAGACACACACAGACACACATACATACACACACAGACACACACACAGACACACAGACACACTCTCACACAGACACACACACACAGAGACACACAGACACACTCACACACACACAGAGACACACACACACAGACACACACAGACACACACACACACACAGACACACACACAGGTACACACACAGGTACACATACACAGGTACACACACAGAGAGACACACACAGACACACACACAGAGACACACACACACAGACACACACAGACACACACACACACACAGACACACACACAGAGACACAGAGAGACGCACACAGAGACACACACAGAGACACACAGAGACACGCACACACACAGACACACACACACAGACACACACACACAGACACACACACACACAGGTAGAGGCATCACCTGTGTAGTGCTTGCGTGTGATCATGGTTGGAGCGGACGCAGTGGAGGTGGATCAGCGGCACGTGGAGTCGATTCCCCTTCAGCAGCATTCGGGATCCGATCGCAATCCCCAAATAATCCCTCTACACACGCACACATACATTACACATACACACACATACACACATATACATACACAGTTACACACACACATATATACACACACACATACACATATATACATACATACACATACACAGTTACACACACACATAAACACACACACACATACAGTTACACACACACATACAAAGACACAAACACACACATACACACACATAAACAGACATATACACACGTAAACACACACATACATACACACAGTTACACACACACATACAAAGACACAAACACACACATACACACACAAACACACACATACATACATACACACAGTTACACACACACATACATACACACACACACTCCTTAATACCACCAAAACCTGCTGGGCAGTACAGAAAATCAGCCATACGCCCAAGTCACTCCCAGCTCGCTATGGCTGACGTTGGACGCGAGACCTCTTTAAGGACACAACACTTGATCTCGCTACACACACGGACACACACACAGCCACACACACAGACACACACACAGACACACACACAGACACTGGGACACAGACACACACTGGGACACACACAGACACACTCAGACACACTGGGACACACACACAGACACTGGGACACACTCAGACACACACACACACACAGACACACACACTGGGACACTCACACAGACACACAGACTCAGACATACACATACAGACACACACACAGACACACAGACACACACAGATACACTCAGACACACACAGACACACACACAGACACACACAGACACACTGGGACACACTGGGACACACACACAGACACACTGGGACACAGACACACACAGACACACTGGGGCACACTGGGACACACAGACACACAGATACACACAGACACACTGGGACACGCACACAGACACACACAGACACACTCAGACACACACAGACACACACACAGACACACACAGACACACACTCAGACACACTGGGACACACACTGGGACACACACACAGACA